GGCAATTATCTATCCATATGAAAGAACACTATCCACACTGGCTGAGTTTAAATGGTTCAGGATCTATCAGAAGTGCGGATCTCGCCCATGTGGTAGATATTGTTCACGTGTTAATCCAGGTGAAGCATTCCGCATTCTTTAACAGATTCCCCCGAACCGGTCTAAACATGTCAGAGTGCGTACGCTGACCATAGCCGAAGCCATTTGCATTTGACCCCCCGAACTGTGTCCCCAGAAGCCTCTTATCCAAGTTCCCCATCTCCCCTGGGTTCACGATATTATCCCTCACCCCTGACCACACACACACAAAGAGATTGATTCATCACATTCCAATCCTTAGGTTCTATCCTCTCATATAAAACGTAAAGCCATGATTATCAATTATTGAAAACAATCGGTCTCCCTAAATTGTTTTAAATGCGGGTATGGGTATATAACGAAATTTAAAGTCTTTATGACTTATGAATGAACACTGGTAAAGTAACACCAGTGTCGGTAACCCTCCGAAATAGTCGATGATGAAGACACTCATTTCTAAACTGGGCCACCAAAACCTAGTGATGATTGCTCCATTATTGTATTTTTATACTGGTCAGAAGTAAAACTCACCATCAAAATGAACGGATCAAAGCATACTGGTGATTTGCGTGAGCTAAACGAGCCCCCACAGTTCCGATTCAGTACGTGAAACTCATTCACCATTCAATTAAATGCCTTGACGAATCTTGACTGGAATGCCCCGAAATGTGCATCTAACAGGTTACCATAAAAACGTTCGTGTCGCAATGATATATCTGTGCTTTATTCACAGACACGGGCAATTGAAAAACATTAGGACTTAAGATTATCGCCGGGATCGACGAAGAAAACTGCTTGCACGAACTACATCCAAATCGCATGATCTCATAATCGGATACTCATTAAACAAGCAATATTGCAGTGCCATTTTGTGGCTTCTTTTCGCTGGAAAAATGATATTTGCAAAACGACCGGTGTGCATGAAAGGCACTTGAGAATTTATTCAACTCACTTGAAACATGAGATATTCAGAGGAATCGGACGCGAATACTGGACGGACTTTGTATTCGTCCGAGGGACGCACGTCAACTCGGTAACCCAACAGATCTCGGAATGCACCACGAAATCGTGCACTGGCCTTGTCAAACAATTCCATGAGTCGATCTCCACGCAACTGTTCGACACGTAATTGTTTACGAACCGCTGTAAGAAATATTAGATTACAGAGATGAACGGAATCCAGGCGAAAAAAATCAATTCAATGTGCAAGATGAATTAGTGATGGAATACGACACATGAAACAGCAGTCAACAAAGGTTTATTAATGGTGAACATCACTAACTGACGCTGAGTATATCTACCCCCAGCATCCCCCATAATGATTTTACATGTTCCCCCCCCCCCTCGGAAAAAAGCGACCACAAACGTCCGTTTCTATAACTACACATTTACATGAAACACCATTTGGTCTTGGGTTATATATGGACTTGTATTCTGTGGGCACATCATAAAAGGAAAGCAAGGTGATTTGTCTCGCCAAATCTATTACTGAACCTGGTCCCACGACACGTATCCCAACGATACCAGTTGCAAGACGTTGCAAATAGTGCAAGTCCTTATTGGTAGTATCAATTGTCCGGAATCGGGTTACGAGGGAGCCGATGAAGTATACGCCTGAATGCGAAACCAGGACTCTCGAGTAAATGTTGACACGCTCTCACGGTGGCTGCTTATCCTAATCCACTTCAGATGCAAATCGCGAGAATTCTCAGGGAAGGTCAGGCTTCCGCTGACACCCCCTTCCTTTTGAGATATACGTTCGCAATTTGGACTAACAATAGGAGAAAGACAAGAAAGTTGAAAGTAGAGTCGAATAAAAAATGGAGGATTTCAGTGGACCGAGGTTTCAAGAAAAATGAGATGTAAGAACACTCAACCACATTCAACGACCGTGACCACCGGACACGATCATCCCGATCAATCCCCAGTTCATCGCTTCAACCATAAACTACATTCGAGTTTCGCCCTTATTAGGGCCAATCAGTAGTGCATATCCACCATCCCATCCGGGATTGGAACTCCGGACCCATCGCATGGAAGGCATGTGTTACCACTGCGCCAACCAGCTCGTGCCATGGCTGAACCAAATTGCCAATTCATATTTGTTCAGGTATTGCCTTCAGCGATAGTCAGTCAGTTCATTTGATCCGACAGTAACGAAGAGAGACACAGATGACATACGGTTAACTCCAATCGAAAGCCTCCCACCAAATCAGGACTTACCTGCAGGTACGGAATGATTTGCCAACGAACCTACAAGGCTGGATGAATATTCGTACTTGACCCACAGTTACTGAAGGGATTGTGGAACCGGAGAAAATAAAACTGGAGGGGTGTGGTGATACGCTTTCTGGTGTGGCAAGTCCAATAATCTTTTTCAGTGCGCTCGAAAGGGATTGAATACCTAGTCGTGCAGTCACTCAACATTTTCCAGTATTCCTCACGCAACTTCACTAACTTGCAAATAGCACCTTAATATACATAATCAGATTGTATGCCATTCTTCGACTCGTTTATACCTTTTATTGCCCCAATTTAAGACGCTAACTTACACAGTCGATGGCGAACTTATTCATACAAGTAGTTATCCTCTTTTATCATTAGGTGTGGCAGATATTTGTCACTCTCCCACAAGTCTCAGAGTGCTTCAGCTGTCAGGTATTTGTCCTAGCTAATCAAAGCTGAAGCAAACAGACTAATCACATTATTCTCCGATCGAATTCTGAGGACTGGAAACAGCAAACATCTGTGGCAAGGAATCACACTAATCTGTGGAAAGAAGAAAGTATGGCCGAAGCTGCGTGTGGATGTAAATTATCTTGATGCCGCATTCCTGCGCCAATCATCGGACATTCTTCCTGCCTACTCGTCGCAGTGTTTGTAATGTGGAACCCTATTCAAATTGTGATGTGTTAAAGCTTTTAAATAGTTGTAATTCGTCTTCTGCTGCGAACCCGTGTGATTTACATCGAGTCCTCTTCAAATTCGGTGATAATTCCCGAGCTGGGGCAATCATCTCCATTGTAAATGAATCTCTTAACACTTCCACTATCCCCGACTACTGGAGGCCGGTCACTATAATACCAACCCCCCAAAGTATTCAAATCTTCTATCCTCTCTTAAGGTTTTCATCCTATAGCGTTACCATCTTCAGCTCTTAAAATGATCAAAAAGGCTATCCTCAAACGCCTTCAGCAGTTTGGTGAGTAATTTTGACCGCAATCTTTCTCCGCCTTAATTGTTATTTACTGACAATATATTAATGATCACATAGAATGCAGTATGCGCATGTACAGATGCAGCGAAATGATCCAGCATACATTGGGCAAACCTATTTTTGGCTTCTTTATATAAACATTTGATTGTAAAACCTGTCTTGAGAAGGGTTACCCACGGCAACCAAAACGTCGGCGAATATATTTCTCCACTGAAGTCGCTGTTATTAACATAAAATACACAATAAAACAACACATGGCGCATCAATTTTTCGACACACTCCTAACATGTGCTAAGAAATTCCCAGTGATTCTTTACAGTTTGCTTTCGACCTTCATAGATCCACTTTGGAGGCAGTCTCGATCCTTATTCATTGTATCACTAAGTCTTTGAACAACTCTGGTAAGTCCGTTCGGTGTGCTTTTCTGGACTACTCTTCACCACTTGATTCCACCCGTCGATCTATATTGTTACAGAAACTGGAGTCGTTTGAATGTCCCAAGCAATTGTTAGCTTCGCAATGGGTACAAACCACTAGATTGGGGAACTCATCATCTAAACCCTTAGTCCACAACTCCAGAGTTCTTCAAGGAGCTGTGTTATCCCTTTCTTTATTTTCCCTTTTATATTTTTTGATATCCCTTGTGTTTCTCCTGCACGAATATTGAAAAATGCAGATGAAATTGTGCTGTGTCAACCCATTTATTCTTACTCCGATCGAAGCTCCCTCACCGACAATCTTGATCACATTTAGTCATTCTCCTCCTAATCGGGGCTAATCTCAAATAACACTAAATGTGTTGAGTGTTTATATAGTTTTGCTTGCCCTCCATATCCAACAGAACACACAGTAATGAATAACAATCCTTTACTTAGGGTGAACTGCGTCAAATATCTTGGTGTAACCATACATAGTAATCTTAATTGGTCAAGCCACATCCACAACAGCATTGTTAAACTGCGGCGCCTATCATTTCAAATTCGAAAGCTCAGGTAGTTTCGCGTTTTCCAAGCAGTTATTTCTACCTTTGTGAGAAAATTTTATGTGGGGATTGTGAAAATCTCAGGAGCCTCGCTGGGATTTACACCAAGGCATGGATGCCACCTACGCTTA